GTTTGAGTGTTTACCTTTGATTGACTTCTGGTTTTGTTCTGCTGTGGTCTCAGAATGTACACATTATGATTTCCATTTTTTTGAATTTGTTGATACCTGTTTTGTAGACTAAAATATGATCACTCATACAGAATGCCCTGTCTGCTTCTGAGAGGGATGTTTATTCTGTAGTTTTTGAGTGCAATGTTTTGTAACTGTCGGTTAGATTCATTTGATGTAGAGTTTGCTTTAAGTCTATTGTTTCCTTATTTATTTTCTGCTTTGATGATTTGTCGAGCTCTGACAGTGGGCTGTTGAGGTCCCCAGCAACCAAAATGGTACTATTTATTTCTTTGCTTACCTCTAGTAAAATTTTCTTTATGTACCTGGGAGCTCCTATATTGGGAACATATACATTTAGAATTTTTATGTCTTCTTATTGAATTCTCCCTTAACCATTATATAATGACCCTCTTTGTCTTTCTTTACATTTATTTGTTGGCTTAAAGTCAATTTTATCTGATATGAGAATGGCTACACCTGCTCTCTTTTGATTTGCATTTGCATGGAATATATTTTTTTCCATCCTTTCACGTTGAGTCTGCATGTGTCCTTGTGGTCTAAATATGTTTCCTGTAGACAGCAGATACTTGGGTTGTATTTTCTCATCCATTTAGCTGGGCTATGTCTTTTCAGAGGAGCATTCAGTCCATTCCCATTATTTGATAGCATTGATATCTGGCATATTGGTCTGTTCATTTGGTTAGTAGTACCTTGTACCTTTGTTTTACCTCTTGTTCTATTGTTTTATAAGAGTTGTGAGTTTGGGGTTTTTTTTAGGTGAATTTACACAGGTAGGTATCTCTTGTGCCGATTTGTGTATAGTGCTGTTCTAAGTATTTCATGCAGAGCAGCTCTGGTCATGGCAAATTGCCTCAATGTTTGCTTGTCTGGAAAAGACTTAATTTCTCCATCAATTGTGAAACTTAAGTTTTGCAGGACACAAAATTCTAGGCTGGCTGTTGTTCTGTTTAAGTTGATTGAAGATAGAGCCCCAATCCCTTCTGGCTTTTAATGTTTTAACTGAGAACTCTGCACTTTGCCTGATGGGTTTTCCTTTGTAGGTTATTAAATGCTTACATCTTGCTGCTTGCAGAAGTTTGTCCTTCATTTCAACTTGGCCAGGTTGATGACTATGTGTCTTGGAGATGACCTATTTGCTATGAATCTTCCTGGTGTTTGATGTCCATCTTGTATCTATATCTCTGATTTTCTGGCGATACTAGAGAAGTTTTCCTCAAATAGGTTTTCCATGCTTTCAGCTCTTTCTTATTCTCTCTCAGGAATACCTTTAATTCGAATGTTAGTTCACTTTGAAAAGTCCCATATCTCTCTCAGTGATTGGGCAGACTTTTTTATACTCCTCTCTGCCTCTTCAAGTGACTGGGTCATCTCGAGAGCCTTTTCTTCAAGCTCTGAGATTCTTTCTTTTCCTTTGTTTAGCCTGTTATTAAAGCTTTCTGCTGTGTTTTGAAATTCCCTTAATGATTCTTTCATTTCTTTAAGTTCTATTATATACTTTCTTATGTTATTGAGCTCTCTAGTGAAATTTTTTCATTTTTTTCATTGATTTCCTGAAATATTTTTTTTTGGCTTCTTTTTGTTGATTTTCAACTTTCTCTTCAATTCTATTCATCTTATTTGCCATCCATAAGATGAATTCCATTTCTGTCATTTCACCAATTTCCTTTGTTGGTGGAGTCCACTACTGTAGCTGCATTGTGTTTGTGTC